ACAAGATAGGCTGTCCTCAAGCTGCCCAAAAGTCTGTAGGAGGGAATTATGCAAACAAAGCATTGCAACACTGTGCTATTCATGGTATTCATGCTGGGGCCGTGTCACCTTTCCTCTGGTCTAAGCGAGACTCTCAGGTGCCCACGAGGGTTGAAGGACGCTGGGAGAGCAGGAGTGGAAGAGGCTGCAATCAGCAGGGGCTGGACAGAGGCTTGGTTTGGGGGGAGCACAGGGTGCCTGGGTGGGCTGGGACGGAAGGTGGGAGGGCAACCTGCATGTCATGCCAGTGGGCTGGGCTTCAGGTTTCGGGTCCCGGGGAGCTTTCAAAAGTTCTTCGGCAGAGCAACCTGATTGGATTTATGTACTAGAAACAGTGGTGTGGGATGGAGGGCCCGCACAGGATGGATCGCAGATGAAGACACTGGAAGAACCCAACAGGCAGCTAATTTAGTGCTACTCTTTAACTTCCAAGAAAAATACACACAAATCTACTGGAGCCCTTTATCCATACTGCGGCCCTGAGATTCGAACATTTAGTTTAATGTCTTTGTAAGAGGAATGTGTCTGCCCCTGGTGGCCTGCAAAGCAAAGTCTTCCTGTACAGGGAGGCGTGGCGTGGGCTCATTTCTGCAGAGCTGGTTAGCCCTGAAGGGGCAAAAGTGGAGAGGGAGGTGGCCTGACTCCCAAGGATTAAAAGCTATGGTCTGGATTTTTAGCACAAAAGGAGCTGGAACCTTCCAGGGGCTGGCTTGAATTAGTTTGGGATTCCCTTCTAACTGGGAAACTTCCAGGTGCATAGAGGAAGGAGGAAAAGAGACTTCTGAATTAGTGCTTGGAACTCCTTCTTTCATAGAAGTAAGTTTATAAATAATGGTTTGGTTACAAGCTGGCTTCTCCACAGAGCGACAGCCTGTCTGAAATCCAGTCCATTTGTAACTTTGTTATTATATTCTCTTCTGGATCTTCCACTAACTACCAGACTTTTGGAATATGACCTGTTTGTAAAGTGGAGATTATCTGGGATTATGAATTTATAATCATGCCAATTCATCAGACACACATTCAAGATGGTCTTGAGAATTCCATATGTGGCCGCAAAGGACCAGACCAGAAGCTATCTCCCAGAATACTGGCTTGGAAACATTTCTATTTGAAAGTGAATCACAGTGGGGTGCCTGGTGCCACAGTCAGTTAAGCGACTGACACTTGGCTTCAGCTCAAGTCGTGATCTTGGGGTTGAGACTGAACCCCACATCTGGCTCTGCGCAGTCTCTTTCCTTCTCTCCCTGCCCCACCCTGCCCCCATGCTCGCTCTCTCTCTAAAATAAACTTAAAAAAGAGAGAACCTTTAAAAAATAAAAATAAAAATGAATCAGTTTTTGTTTTTCTTAGAATAGAACTTTATTTGTGGCATCAAGATTTTTAAAAATGATTTTATACTTTAAAGTATGCAATAAATTTGATACATTAATCTTGATATATATTCACCATACGAGAAGATTTTTAAGAACAATGTCAAATGGTTTATAATCAAAACAAATTGTGTTTAACTTGATAATTATGTAGAATAATTTCAGCATTATAAATAAAAAATGAAAACAAATACCACTTAAATTTGAGTTAGGATGAAATGCACTTGTTTTACAATTTTATGTCTATTTTAAAGTTCGTGTGATTACAGAGAAAATACAGGCTAAAATTATGTGCTCATAATTTCTAGAAAAATAGAATGTCCTTGCTTTATGAAAATGACCCTATTTACTCTCCTGCTGTAGAGTGCATTTGGGACACTTTTTTATCTGGGATGAGAGGCTGTGTGGCTTGATACAGGTTCCTTCCAGACCCCAGCCCACACCTCGAGACGAAGGGGATGATGGTCTGTGGCTGGGAGCTGTGGGAGTGTCTGGTCTCATTCACACCTTGTTTTATCTGAGTCACAGGATCATCCAAGTGAGTATCAGGGAAAGCAAGCTTTGTATTTTCTTTAGCTCTGATCTGCTCTGATATTTCACAGAAATGCTACTTAAACATATGTGGTAAGATCCTGTTTCAACAAAAATAGTTTTCACATTAAGTTCTCTAAAATGAGGACATTTCAAAATGCATTGGCCCATATTAATATTACTTTGCTGATGTGGAGAAAATTAATTCTGATGGTATATATAAACACACACACACATATATTCAGTATCAGAGATGTTCCTACTTCTTTGTCTATTAGCAGACATTTTATTTTTAAATGAAGAGATTCTTCTTTGGGAGTGTAGCTTGTGTGCATACCTGATTTGACAAAATCTGATGGTCAGCACAAAGCACAAAGCATCTTCTGATTGTATCATACTTTACAAAGTGGCTCTCTGGAGCTTATAACAAGCTTCCCTGACAACGAGTGTGGGCGTGATTGTTCTCATTTGGCAGATGAAAGAATAGGAGCCCAGAGAGGTTAAGTAAATTGCTTCAGTTTCAACAGTTGGTAAGTGATAAAACTAGTACTACATCTGGTGGCCTTGCCCGAATGCTGGGGTGAAGATGAAACACAGGGTGCACTCATCTGTCCATTACTTTCCCTCAGCCCCGCTGGAGATGTGGTGTTTGGAAAGTGGTTTTGCTGCTGTCCCATTTGAGATCTTAAGCAGGTGCCAATTGGTACCCATGGTGCTACACCCCACGAACTTAAACCAATAGCCAGCTGCACTTCTTACAACTCTCCGAGTATACATATGTATTTAAGAAGACTCATAACATATATTTACAATTATTCCTAAATCGCCAAGACATCATATTGAGAAACAGATTTAACTTTTTGCAAGAGCATTTTCTATGTCATCATTCGAATATACGCATGAAACATATAAATACAAGTCTTGGCAAACTTTATCCGTGCAGGTGCATGGAGCACTTTCCCTTTTGCCTCTTTCTGCTCACCCCTACTTTTGATTGTTCACAAATTCATTTACACGTCCGTAAGTTCCTGGAGGTGAGGCCTGAGCTAGATTTCTTTGAAGCTGATGGGTCTTACTCCAGGGCCTTCCGCAGGGCTAGGCACACAGCAGGCATTCAGCACACATTTGCTGAATGCATGCATGTGATTTGTACGTACTTCAATTTGGTTAAAGTAGGATTCTGCTTGTAGCATTTTTCTTAAAGAGTTTTGGATTTATAGTGAAACATCATTTTCATAGTAAACAGTATTTTTTAAAAAGTGTAAGAAATACAGCAATAAATTTAATACAAATTACGCATTATAACTATTCTTTGGTTATTTTTAACAAATTATTTTTTTTTTTACTAAAGAGAGATACTAAAAATATAAAAATGCAACCACAGAAATTAGCTTAATCTGTAAACATAATAAACATGTTCTGTAAACATATTTACTACATAACTGGGCAAGTGTAAAGAATGACTAGTAAAGGCAAGTACTATACATTTAACTTAGTTCTTCAAGGCGTATTTAGAAATACTGCTCTGCGGAGCTTTAGTGTAATGTCTGAAGAAGGAAGTCTTTTACCTTAAACAGGAAAGAGTTCTGACTATGCCAGTGAACCAAAAGGATATACAGGCAAGACGAAGGCGTTAATACTTTTCATGCTTTGTGAATCTGAATTCGCTTCACGTCTTATAAACCACCTTGTTTAGTAAAGCTACATATTAACAAAAGCCAAATACTTTTAAAATGAAGAAGTAAACAATTTTTTTTTTTTTGCAAGTGAGTCAGTGGACTAAAAAGGTAACACACTTTCCAAGGTTTTTTCCAAAAATCTGGGCAGTAAGGTGCAGTAGGCAGGTCTACAGAATAATAATAGCTGTAGGCAGCATGAAGTATATTGTAGTTTAATCAATATTAAAGTATTCTTTTCCAAATTTCAGTTTTCCTTCTCAAAAAGCATCCAACTTTTCACACATGACACTTATCACAAATATTTCACAGTTATAATTTCAGTAGTTTAAGGAAGAACTGCCTGGCAAATACTGTAAGAGAGGTAAATGTTAAGGACACAACTCACTATTTCAGGCACATGGGATTTAAATCCTAGAGTGGGAACTCTAAAGATGGAAAGAAACAGCTGTGTCAATGCAACATATTGTTGTAAAAGTGAATGAAATAATGGTAAGGTTGTCAAACTGTTTCTTCTAATGCTTTTATATGATTTTTCTCCACTATCTGGAAAGAAACAAAGGCCAAGTTTTAGTAGTTCCCTGGAAAATTTTAAGTCAAGATTTTGCTTATACAAAAGTGGCGGTGAAACACTCTAGATTGTTATTTGGAATCTAATCGACGCCATCAAAGCCCTGAGTGTTCTCAATTGCCATCTGAAGTTTATCCCATAATTCTTCAAATGATTCATAGGGCGGCAAGTCCAAGCGGTTAAAGCTGAAAGAACAGAGAGGACCTGGTTAGATCAGACACTGACAAAGCAAGTGCCATGGTGCCCAACAGGACCGCTGCTATTCGTGATGTGTTCCACCCACAACACTAGAAGACATTAGATCACCGGAGAGAAGGAAGGTAACAGCACTGGGCGCTAGGCATGGACTCATCCCACGACTTCTTGGTGGGCTCCTCTCACTCCCATGACCTCCAAATGCCTGGGGTCCTCTGTTATTTTAACCTCCAAGAGGGAATGTTCTAGCTTCTCTTGGGATGGCCCATCATTCATGCGATGGAGGGCAACACATGGTCAACGGCTGAGATGAGCCTCTCCACTGTTCAGCTACCCAGACTTCGAGCCCAGGCCTGGCTGGCAAAGATGCACCTGTTCCTGTGTTGCTGTTCCTGCCCACCCCCTGCCCCCCCGCCCCCCGTAGCTGCCACTGACACAGCACAGAGCTGGCTACACCTTCTGTACCTAGACTCTGTTAGAGGAGCTTCACTCTCTGAAAACTTGTTCTCTCAATGTTGAAAAAACTGCTTACCATGTGTGGGCTCGTGGCAGCTTTTCCGGGGTACCCCACTGTTCAACTGTAAATGACTGTGGTCCATTTGAGCCTGTAAGGAAGAAGAGTTGCTGGGGTCTCATCTATTCTTTATAGGAATCCCTAGAATTTCACAACTCATTATTTCCAATGTAGAACTTAAACGTCCAGAGAAGGAGTTTCTTTGAACTCCAAAGAAATGAAGGCTGTCCTGTCCTTGATGGTTTCATTGTCCAGCCACAAGATGAAGATTCCTCTCCATCGGCTCCTCTCACTGCCTAATTGGATTTCTTTTAATCCAAAAGAGTCTCACTCCACCTATAGGGCGGCAGGCCTGACGGGACTTTTGAAATGTTTCCTAGCCCTGCGCTTCCCTAGGACCACCTCCTTCATTGGTACACAGAGAAAATGAGGAATTTCTTTCTTTCTTCAGTCCCACCAAAAATAGCTTTAATTTTTCTCTGATTATCTAATCTCACTGCAAGAAAATTAAAGCAATAGAGAGAAATATAATGAATAGTATAAAAATTGTCTCAAAGTCCACTATTAAATTTGAGTAAACATTCTATTGTGAATCATTTTGCACATGTGCATATACATATGGAATTTTGTGTGCAGGTGATCATGTTATCCATGCTACATTTTTCTTTTATTATGGACACTTTCAGAAGCTCTTTTTTTCCTCTGGAGTTTTCACTTAGCTCTTCCTTCCCCCAATTCTCAACATCCTCCAACCACCCAGGTAATTGGTGCTGACAACGCGATGTAGAACCTTCCATACTTTTCCCCGAGTCTTATAATCATAGCTAGTTATGTGTGGGAGTGTAACTGCCAGGAGCAGCACTAAATATACTGGATATTCTTTTTTTTTTAAAGATTTTATTTATTTATTTGAGAGAATGAGATAGAGAGAGAGCATGAGAGGGGGGAGGGTCAGAGGGAGAAGCAGACTCCCTGCCAAGCAGGGAGCCCAATGCGGGACTCAATCCCAGAACTCCAGGATCATGACCTGAGCCGAAGGCAGTCGCTTAACCAACTGAGCCACCCAGGCATCCCTTTTTTTTTTTTTTTTAAAGATTTTATTTATTTATTCGACAGAGAGAACACAAGCAGGGGGAGTGGGAGAGGGAGAAGCAGGCTTTCCGCCGAGCAGAGAGCCCGATGTGGGACTCGATCCCAGGACCCTGGGATCATGACATGAGCTGAAGGCAGACGCTTAACGACTGAGCCACCCAGGCACCCCCTGGATATTCTTGATAGTACAGTTTTCTCAGAAAACATTGCTTTTCACACATCACATATCATAATTATGTTCACAGTTAAAGTTTCAGTATCTTTGTCATTGTTTCCTGTACATGGGATCAAATATATTTCCCTGCCTCTTGATTCTCTCACCTAAATGACCCATTGTGAAAACTTCCTCTAAGTCAACCAATACAAACCTTACACACTTTTTATTGGCTAGATAATACTGTATTATAATATTAACTTTTTGAAAATGCATATGAATTTGAATTATATTCTAATACTTCCAACTCTGGCTCCATGTGTGGGATATTTCCCCCAAATTCCAAACAATTCACACACTCAGTGGATGGCTGTAGGCCTGGACTGCACAGAAGAGGGATGCGGAGCTAGACATGGAAAGGGGTGTTTGGCCGGCCTTGCTCTTTCCCCACTGTAACTGGCTAAAATATAGGAGAAGCAAAAGGAAGGGGGAAGTCACGGGAAACCACTGAAAAGACAAAGGCAAAGAAATCCAATTAGGCAAGAAGGGGTGCAGGGGTTAGCGCAGAGCTCCTGTCTTGTTCTTCTCACTGTGCACGGTGACTCTAGGTGGGATGGCAGATGCTTTACAGGTTCTGCAAAATATGCATGAAGCTTAAGGAGCCCAGGTTTGCCGAGGAGACCGACAGGGCTAGAGATCCCATCAGACAGCAACAGCTTTCTCTGTGCGCAAGAAATCCAGCTCAGCAACGACTGAGGCGGAAGTCATGACTTGTCGTTCCCAGAACAATTCTAAACTTCGTTGTTGCTCTGCGTGGGGCTCCCACCTTAGCTATACCTTCCCTGAAAGATTTGTTCTTCATAGTATCTTTAAAAGCAAGTAAATGTCATTCCAATACATAGATATTAACTGATTTGAGTTGATTTACATCAGAAACAGCAGGTTTCTTGTTCTGTTTTTTTTTTTACAAAAAAACACCTCTAGTGCTATGAGATATATGCACTGGAAAACAGTTTGCTAGGATATGCAGAATTCCACTTTATAGAAAACTGCATTAATAGTAACTATTCTGAATATTCAAAGACATGTGCAGTCTTATCACCAGTCCTGCACATCCCCCCCACACACACCACACACACATGCATGCACGTATATACACAGAGTCCATGATCAAATAAGTTTTGGAACCCCCTCTTTTTTTTCATAGTAAAGGTTCCGAATGAGTCCCAAAGAAATCTACTCACTTTTTAGTCCAGTATTTGCCCCAAATGTATTCCACTATGGAACTCTTTGTTTTCTGTTGTACACTTACTAACATTCTGTGGGACGTTACATGGTGCCCTAAACAATCACCCTATAGACAATGCTTTTTCTGTGATGGGATATGTAGTGGGAATCAAATTTAAAACTCAAGAACGGAAAGGAACTCGAGCCATTTCATGTCTTTGGTATCCGATTAGAAGGTGTACATATATTCTGGCCTACTTCTGTGTATCAAATCCAATCATTTAAAAATCTTAATTCTTTTTTTATTAAGCTCAGCTTTTGTATAAATGATAGAAGTTTGACAACTAATCGTCAAATGAAAAAGACAAGTGGCATCACTCCATTTTTAAATGATGTGTGAAAACCCTTACCATATAGTTCAGCAAATCCATTCATGGGCACTCGAGAGGTGCCAGTGACAAACTGAAGTAATCTTATTCTTTTTTCTGAATCCATCATTAGAACAGCCTGAATAAGAGAAAAACAGCATTTAGGAATATCACTGGGAAAAAAGTAAAAAAAGTAACAGCACTATCCTGAAAAATACGTTATCAGAATTTAGTTACAGTATTAGTGATCAGTTATTACATTTACATGTGTTTCTGGGTGGCTTACAAAGTTCCTGGAAACTTCATTTCTGAGGCTACACGGTAACTCTCTAGAATGAGATCATAGCCTAATAAAGTGACAAAAATATCTTCTTGGATGTGACTCATGGCTTTTTAAAAATTTATATTTACAGATACTATTGAGTGACATACACATTTCTTGATTAGATGGAAAGTCACATTTAAGGAGCCATGCAGGAGTCCCAGGGAACACCCAGCAGGTTATTACAAGTTCTCTTAACAGTTTCCATGTTGGTAAGGGACTAAGCGCCCACTGCTGTTGTTCCTGCCATTTACTACATTCTGAACACTGACTTATCTATAAATATGTATGGAGGATGGAGCCATACCCAGAAGGCAGATGGATACAGTACACTGTTACTTTTTCTTATCTCTATGTAATCCACTAGTATCGTTAAGTATGATTGAATCTGTTGAAAAGGAATTTACGGAAACAGAAGCTTTCAATTACCTTCCAAAACCACTGTATGACTTGATGATTCACACTGTAGCCATTCTTATACTTTGTGTGTTCTCTCCAGTCATTCACATCGACATCTCCCAATCCACACATAAGAAGCTACGTGATAAGAAATGTCAAACTGTAGACAAGAAAAATAATGGGCACAAAAATCCTGTTTCAAAATAAGAATATTTCTTACCTCTAGTTCGTTTTCGTCAAAAATTTTGATAAGATCCTGTGGTATTAGTTCAAAAAATCCCTAGTGGAAAGAATGTACTTTAAAACCTGGTTAGCAGAGTCCATCGACAGCCCTACACATCAGCCTCTGGATTGCTATGGGAGAAATCCCACCTGCACATAGATTCCTACCACCACACAGTCATGGGTTCTTAAGTCAACGGAGGGTTCAATATCGGCAAGAACATGGATGTGTCCACAGTCTGTTCTCTCTCATTGATTCCTCAAAATGGCCATTTTGAAACCTCCCCGCATTTCCCCAACTGCTTCCTCCTCCTCCATGTCATCCCTCCTTTACAGCAGATAACTTTTATTTGAGAGAGAAAACAGAGGTGATGATGGAATTCCCTCAACCTTCTGCCTGCCCGGGTACCAGCCGGCGCTGACATCCATCATGGCCGCCTGCCCATGGCAGTGGGGACAGGTGCCTGCCCCCTTTCTCTCTGGGCTTCATCTGCTTCCCCAAGGGGCTCATCTCACTGAACCTCCTTCTCATTATTAGCTCACTCTTTCAGCATTTACATTTGTTTAAGCCTATCTAACTTACAAACAAAACAAAAAAGCAAACCCGTCTTTCTTCTCTTTACCGCCAAGTCATTATACCTGACCGAACCCACGCCGGACCATCTCTGCCTCCACCCGCTGCCCTCTGCCCTCCATGCCCCTGCTGCCCTCAAGACAGCTTTGCGGCGAACTCTGACCAACGCTTTCTAGTTAGGTATCTTATCTGACTTCTCTGCACTATGAGATTGTTGAAAACACTGCTGTTCTGGAAACTTCGTCTGCTGTCGATGGTTTCTCTCATGTCTCTGTCTGCATTTGCTAATTTCCTCGACGTATCCCTTTCTACTGTCTGTTCCTTCCAGGTTGGTGCTCCCACATCCCCACCGTGGGCATCCACTTTCCCTGTTCTTACTGTTCTTTCCAATTTCCCATCTTACCGAGTCCACAGCTCCAGTACACATAGGCAGATGATCCCCAAATCCATGCTGCTCCCCCACACAGATCTCTATCCTTTAAAGCACCTGAGCTACAGTTCTCCCTTGTGAATCCCATTCAGATACACACACAGTGGTCTTCCCACCACCACCACCTTCGTTCCTGCCCTGATCTTCTCTCACCCGGATCGCTGTAGCACCTTCCCGCCCAGCCCTGCTGCTAGTCTTGTCTATCTCTAACTTGCTACGTACCACTTCCAGAATGATCTGACTAAAATGTAAATTGAATCCTGTTGTTTTATAGCCACCTTCCTTCCCCTCACTGGACTTCCGCAAAAACCCCAAATTCCCTCTGTTTCCAGTTTAGCAAACAGGCCTTTCTTAATCTGGTTCTGCTCAACTCTTCAGCTCAGTTTGACCTCCTGCCTCATCTTATCCAGTGTATGAACTGCTAGCATGTTCAACATGTGCACAGTCTGTCTTATGGCCAGACTTCACACATGACCCTCATTATGCTTAGAACTGCACTGCCCTCCTCCGTGTGGCTGGCCAGTCCCTCCAGGCCTTCCCTGGCCCTTCCTGCACCTCTCCCTGCCCAGATCTCTTCTCTGTGCTTACTGAGCACTTCACGCCTGCCTCTGTCCACGTCACTCTTTAGATTTTCTGCTCCCTAGAGCAGGACCTAGGTCTTTCTGCCTTGTGCAGCACCAGATACATAGCGAGCACTCAATACTGAATAAATGAAAAGTACGTGATAAATACTGAACGGAAGATTTTAAGTTGGCTTAAGAAACGAGTGCACTGGCAATAGCCTAAATGTCCACCAATGGGGGGAATTTAAATAACTTATGAATTTATATTGTGAATAAAATGCAGCCACAAGGAAGGGCAGTTACGCATCTTGACATGTAAAGATCTCCAATAAATATTTGATAAGAGAAGAAAGCAAGTCACAAACTAGCATGTACAGTGTGATCCCATGTGGGAAAATAAATGGCCTACTCCACTCTCCCTACGGCACTCTGAACCTTGTTCACCTGAGGTTACTTAAGATGGAGGAGACGTGACTGGGAAAAGGTGAGGAGCAGTGACCGGAGTATAGGGGGAGCGTCAGCGTTAATTGTATGGGCCTCTTGGATGACTGAGTTCTAACACCTATTCATTTAAATATTTTTTTTTAAAGATTTTTATTTATTTATTTGAGAGAGAGAAAGAGAGAGAGCACATGAGAGGGGGGAGGGTCAGAGGGAGAAGCAGACTCCCTGCCGAGCAGGGAGCCCGATGCGGGACTCGATCCTGGGACTCGAGGATCATGACCTGAGCCGAAGGCAGTCGCTTAACCAACTGAGCCACCCAGGCGCCCCCATTTAAATATTTTTTTTACTATAAACATATAATTAAAAGTTGTTTTAAAAAGCCAGTCATTTCTTAGTTCTCAGATGTGATGAGCCCCCAATACTTGAAACTTATGAATTGTACTTTGAAATGGCAGAAGAACGAACAAAAATAAATGAATACCTCTTTAAATGCAGCCATTTGCTTCTGGATTCGGTTTACAAATCGCCACTGTATTACAAGACTAAAAAGAAACAAAACATTTCATCTTTTTCACATGAATGAAGAAAAAAATTTAAGGTATATTTATTCCAGTTGGAAACAAAAAATAAAGACTAGGTAAGCTCCAGGCAAAAAGTGAATATGAGTGGTAATATGGCATTGTTATAGAAAGAGTAAAAAGAACACTGAGACTCTGGCTATGAAGAAAGAGAAAGAAGGTACAAAGAGTCTTCCCAGAAAGAATTACAAAATTATTTCCAGGGAAGTATATACTAAACATAATAAAATACTTACTAACAAAATACTTACTAAATATATTCCTTTTTGTTCTTATTGGTGACAACTATTTCTGATCCACCAATTTTCAACTCGTGTTGATGTGTCTAAAATTAAGCATGATATCTTGATATGTTATTTTAGTGAAAAAAATAAAATACATGCATTATAGTTATACCAGAAACCCAGTGTTTTAAATTAAATCCATTCACAAGCTAAGAAAACTTAAAACATTAGTTTTACTAAAATAAACATGGAATGAGTCAAATGTCAAGGAAAGCAGAAATTCTTGCTGAGACAGCTTTTGTTGCTGGAAAATAAATTTAAAAATAGAGCACAGGAATGTGTCAAGGATATGCATCATTTAACTTCTAAACTTAAGTTATAACATTTGTTTCACAATTTATGTACCATTTTAATTAATCAAAGTTTACAAACCTGTCCAAAAAGCTCTTCATCTATGACAAACCTGAGGTCCAATTCTGTTGGATCATTTTCAAGAATCCATCTTAGTGAATTGTAATATTCACTATCCTAGATGGGGAAATCGCATATTTAAAATTTGTGCATAAAAAGACACCTGAACCTGCAAAGAAAGTGTGCTGAGAGTCTGACTACTTGGACAAAAGATGAAAAGTAGTAGGATGTCTTTTCTTATAAACACACAAGTATTATAAAAAGAGTGGGATGACTATTAAGTGTGAGAGTAAAAATGCATAAATCAGCAGAGTGGGGCTTTCCCGAGAGTTTGGAAACCTATCTCTATGTAGAGGCAGTGGAGGTACAGATTTTATTATCCAGTTGAAGGGTCAAATAAAGTAGTTTCCAGATGAATCCTAACTCCCACGGATGCCCAGGAGCACCTAGCGCCTCTCTCGTACGGCCTGTTGAGACGGGGTGTAAAATGTGTAAGTAGCTATGTATGAGCAGGTTGTTACTTATACTTGGCCTAAGTTAAAGAAAAATCTCAGATAAATACAGAACCTCAATTAACCAACTCAAATAACTGTGAAATCTTATGCTTCATAAAGAATTATACGGTCCACATTGATAATGTCACAAGGAAAGGAATAAAGAATGTACTTGGTCCCCAGGAAGAGAGCTTGGAATCCATGTGTACACACAGCACATGAGGCTTTTCAGTTCACACAGCAAAGCTACCATCAGGGATTTAATCCTTAGGTTTCCATTTCTTTGTAGTGGCCTAACCACAAGGCCTTGCCTTTGGACTGTTATTTTGAAAACATATCCACTCATCATAAAAGATCAAAATTCAAATGTTGTTAGTACATTGGAGTAATTAGGGAGAAGGGCATTCTTTGAAGTGCATCAAAAAAGAAGATGGATTGATGGACACATGGATGGACTGATGGATAGGTAGGTAATAAAGTAAGCATAGGGATAAAAAAACCAAGTACAGAATCTTGGTGGTGGATACATATATGTCCACTATAACATTTAAAAAATTTTTTATTATGTATTAGGAAATTTTCGTATTAGAATGTTGGGGAAAATGTTCATTGGAACATTATAATCTATTAATTTCTTCATCATCATATTCTAACTTTAAAATATCCAGTTGCTTCTTAAATTATATGTTCTGTACATTATAAGTGAAAAAGACATACCACTGATTCCATATCATGAAGTGTTATTGGTTTGTGTAGCATCATCTTGTAAAACGGGCGGATGAAAAAACCTTTCAAAAAAATAAAACGTATTGAAAATGATTACCAAATGAAAGAAATAAGATCATTATACTTAAAAAAATGTTTTATGCTTAATACTAACCATCCAACAGTTTGCCATGATAAACTGCCATTCCAGCTACCCGGCCAATAAACTTGAAGTAAGAGAGGTGATCCTCATTACACAATCCCGAGTTTGGATTTATCTGTAGGGTATAATTATCCCTGTAAAGACAACCACATTTATATAAATTTTCCTCTCCACATTTCATATAAAAATTTTAATATAACAAAATCATAAATTAGCTCCCTCTTTTTGGAGTTTTTACTTCTATTAGAACCACATGAGACCACTGGATTTAATGGTTTTAAAAACAGTCATTTCTGTCAAAAGGGGGAAACAACCCAAGTGTTCAACAACAGATGAATGGATATGCAAAATGGGGTGTCCTTTTACACAACGGGGTATTACTCAGCCTCAAAACGGGAGAAAATTCTGACAGATGCTATGCCATGGATGAACTTGGAGGACATCACGCTAATGAAATAAGTCAGTTACGAAAGGAAAAACCCTGTAGGATTCTACTGATATGAGGTACCTAGCGTGGTCAGATTCACAGAGACACAAGGCAGAATGGCGACCACCAGGGAAGGCGGTTAGTGTTTCATGGGCTTCACCAGTTTCAGTTGACGGTGAACGAATTCTGGAAATGGACGGTGGGGACAATGGCACAACAATGTGAATGTACTGAACACCGCTGAACCACACGCTTAAAATGGCTAAAATGGTAAGTTTTATGTTATGTATATTTTACTACCATTTTTTTTTAAAGATTTTTTTTTAATTTATTTATTTGAGAGAAAGAATGAGAGAGAGAGAGAGAGAGAACATGAGAGGGGGAGGGTCGGAGGGAGAAGCAAACTCCCCGCCGAGCAGGGAGCCCGATGCGGGACTCGATCCCAGGACTCCAGGATCATGACCTGAGCCGAAGGCAGTCGCTTAACCAACTGAGCCACCCAGGCGCCCTATTTTACTACCATTTTTAAAAAAGTTATTCCTGAAACAACGTTAGTGACTGTCTCCTTTTCTGGCACGTTGTTAACACACAGTTTCCTTGCATCATGCAACTCTTTGTTACTTTCACAACAGTGACTTTTGTTTTTCTGTATACAGTCATTGTAAAAGTACTTACGTAGCAGAATATTCAAACAACCCATAATAAGGGTTAAACATTTCCTTTGAGATCAGGAAGAACCATTCTCTGGTGACTCCTCCATAATCCAACCCCTTTTCACCATCAAACTCGATCCACAGCCGAGCCTTGAGGAAATCTGCTCTCTTGACACCCATAATTCTCCTGTACGAGTCCTCAAGGACAGTTGCACGGCGAAGTTTCATTTCAAATTTGTTTGGAATGTCATTCTGAAAACCCAGAGAAGAGAGACTTAGGGTTTAAATCAATTCAACACGATGGCAAATTTATTTCTCGTAAAGTTATAAAAACCGTTGTGCTCTACCCTGTGCCCAAGACCCTTTTTTGGGGAAAATGTGACTAGGGATATTGTCTAATATTTCCTCTATGGTATAAAAAAAATTCATGCCTTTTCTCTAATCACATAATAATACAGACTTCTGATTTTTATACTGGAAGAAGCAGTTATCGACAGTGGCAATCATGCTCACACGAAGGCATTTCATGAACAGTCCATTCCATATTAAGTTCCAGTGAAGACCATCCCGTGGCCTACAGTCCCGCCAATGCCTGCTCTTTCTCGCCTGCCTGTTGGTTCTGGGGTTTTCCTGACCTCCACCTTTCCTCCTTGCAGCCCACCCTGCTGCACTCATTCACAGGCACTAACGTTTAAAGACTGTATCAGGCAACTATTCCCAGCATTTTAACAGGTTAACTCATTTACTCCTCACAACAACGCAAGGAAGAAGGGACGGATATAATCTCCATTTTATGGGTGAAGAAACTGAAGACAAAAGTTAAGAAAGCCTGAGCTCTCGAGTCTCTGCCGTCTTGCTGATTTTTCTGTACATCCTTTGCTTATGTGACAAATGCAGATAACTATGCTTCTAGACAGACCTCATTGTAAATTTTATAAAAAGATGTCTGAATATTTTATTCTTGAGTGCTTTGTGTGCAATGTTCAAGTGGAAACCAGTAAGAGAAAATTCTGTCACTTCAAAAGAAGAAGAGAGGGTTACTTCTAAGAAAAAAAATACCAATTTCACTCAATATATTTAGGGAAGAGGCGAAGCCCTACAGAAACATAATAATATAAGCAGTTTTTATAAGCAATATAAGCAGTTTTCTCTGCTGCTTATGCAAATAAAAATAAAAGCAAGATCGGAGAAAACCAATCTTAGACACTAGGCATCTTGTGCAGCCAAGCATTTACTGGGGCCTGCTCCGGGCCAGGCCCCATGCTAGGTAGCTATGGTAATGGGGATGGGAAGAAAAGGGAATAAAAATGTGGTATAAGATATGATTCCTCCCTCAAGGAGTTTATAATCCAGTGTGTATAAGAGAAACAAATGTAAATGTTACTAATCCTGAGATTTACAAGAGTAAGAAAATTGCTAATAATAAAGATATAAGCAAATGTTCTGTGGGGCCTAAAAGATTGAGCTATTAATTGCAAATGAGGTGATCCAGGAGGCTTTAAGAACAAGTCCTGACTTGAGGGAGAGGCAGGGAAGGACTGAGGAGCAGCTAAGGGAAGAGCCTGTGGGGGGGGGGGGGAGGGCGGGGAGGGGGCTACTGTATGTAACAGCAAGAGGGTGCAGGAGGGAGGGAGAAAGGGTTGTTGCAGTGACAGGAGAAGACAGAACAGTGGTCTGGGGCCAGAGTGGAGGGAGCGTGGATGCCAACTGGGAAGAGCTGCTGAGCAAAGGGGCAGGGTCAGGTTGTTCCTGGAGACAGACTAACGGGTGGCTTTAAGGAGAGACAAGAGGCACCTGGTCAGTTAAAGACCCTGTGAGAGAGGGATGGCGATGGAAGAGAGAGAGGCCAGGAGGAGTGACTTCCATGTTTGGGCTGAGTAGTGGACCAGGGCGTGGACTCTGGGGTCAGGAGCCCCATGTTCAGATCCCAGCGCCCCCCTGACATGGCTTTTCTAAGGCTTATTACCTCACCTGTAAATTGGGGACAATAATCGTCACCTCATGGAGCTGTTTTAGAACGTCAGGGGATAATGCATTTCGTGTGCTTCCTCCATGTCTGGCACATGGTAAGCTCAATAATGATTAGCCATCTTTACTCCTCACTAGTGAGATGTTATGGATAAGACAGAGGAAAAAGTTAAAGACAACTTAAGGTTTTGTAGCAATGATTTTTAAACATTTTTATTTCTGTCTTGGTGTTCTGCTCTTTTGCTGTAATGAGACTAGATACGGATTTTTTTAAATCCTACTAGGGACTTTTTGATAAACTAAGGATGCAGGTTCGTAGCCTCTTCCCCATGCTCTTGAGTCTCTCCCTCTGGAGCAACTCCATGTTTCTTAACCTTTCTTTCATGTTTTTATCTCTTTATATACCTTTGTTGCATTTTGGGTAAATATCTCTCTTAATCATCAATATATGTCATTTTGGTCAAGAACATGGACTCTGGAGCTAGACCACTTGTCTCGCTTTGCCACTAATAACCCTGGGACTCGATCACATTACTTAATCTCTCTGTGCCTGAGTATCCTCACCTATAAAAGTGACAATGACAGTTCCTTCCTTACACTGCTAATATAGAGATTACATGAATACATATAACTTGCTAAGAAGAATGTCCGGTTTGCCCTGAGAGCTCAGTAACTATTGCTGCTTTCATTGTGGCTTCTGTGTGTTATGACCTGCTTATGAAGGCTTTGTTCCATATCTCCTGCTGCCAGGAAGACATCAACAATTAGATATGATAGCATGTTTGTAAGTGTTCAGAATGGCAAATGGAGAAGCTAGTGAGTTCTATTCCACCAGCATATTTTCATTAAGAGTGAAAATATTTACCAGACCAACAGATCAACAAAGTCTTAAAACCCCAAAGGACTTTAAGAAGTAGAAAACCAATTTCCAGAGCAATTTTAACACAAAGCTATTATTGAAGATGAGTTTTAAAAAGTTGCTGATAGTTTAGGCTTTTATTAAGGCACAAAATATTTGCACTAAAAAACTATTACATCTCGTTTTTTGTTAAATGTTGGATGAAAACATTCTTGGTAACAGACCCACCATCTTGAATCTTTGGAAAAGCAGGCTTCCAGCTTGGAACGCAAGAAAGTGTAACCCAATATAGCCACCTAGTGGTAGTATTCCTAAACTGCAGGGAAAGGGGAAAAGTGGGAGCAAATTAGAAAGGCATTACAAAGTGGTCATCACCAACAGAAGTGAAATAGATGGGCAGATGGTAAGTATAGTTCCAAATATTAAATTTGTGGTGATGGAAGAAAAAAACTATAGTGAACACATCTGATAAGCAGAAGGAGACAAACAATAGGACCACTGTTTCAATCACAGTTGTATTTTCAAATTAGGCAGAGATAAGTTGTACGAAGCGGTAGAGCATGAATAACTACCACTGGAAAACAAGAGTCCAAGCAGAAGAGGAATATAGAGAGTCCTCCTACACAATCAGGGATGAGGCTGGGGGACAATCTGAGCTTGCTCGGATTCTACCAAGCCCAAGTTCCACAAACCCCACTAGGAAACCAGGTTAGAGCTCATTAAAAGCAAACTTTAATACTATTGTTCTATATATCATAAGGTATCTTGAAAAATAAGGAAAGACACGACATAACTGTGGTCTCTAATGATATGTAACATGGAGTAGTAAAAAAAAAAAAAAAGCCACCTTTCCCTATAAGAAGCTATTCAAAGTTGTTAAAATATAGAATAAATTCTCTATTACTTTTTAAAAATGCATTTCCCACACTTTCAGTCTACATAACAATCATTCCTAAGAACTCAATGTAAATATAACTAACCTGCTTCTTCATCTTTCGTCGGAAGAACTCATACTTTCTTTTGTAATCCCTGGAGTAGGGCACTGCCTTGAGTTGAAAATTTTAGAAAAATGAAGAAGGTTTAGGTTGTTTTTATTCTGGAACAATTTTTAAAGTTCCCCTCTGGGTATTTTATGAACATAAGTTAAAGGCATTAAAAGAGAATACTTGGAAAGAAAAGTTTAATTTGAAGGAAAACAAATACAAAACTTTAAAATTTTTAATTTCTCTGTTTAAAATTAAATTGTATTCAGCAATTTCCATGGCTGTAATTTTCATCATGCAATATTCTTGAAATGCAAAAAGCCAGAAACAGGAAATTTCTTCCAAGGAGAGAAATATTAGAAATGAAAATTTCCATTTCTAAACACACTGTTAAAGTGATTTCTCCATTAAGGGAACAATTTGAAAAATGCACTTTTTCCTTGAACTCTGAGGAATTGCCCTTTTTACCCATTATTTTAAAATACTAAACATGGAGACTAAAGAGTAATTTAAAAGAACTGGATCTTCAATTTCACTTGTTCCTGTGAATTAGAAAACAATTAAAATCTCAAAAACAAAATATGGAACAAGTAACTATATAAAGAAGAAAATGATTTTTCCTATCATTATTATATTATAACATTAAATATTATAATATTTATACTTAAATACGAGTATTTTATACACCAGCATTTACAGTAATTTCCACCAAAAAGTTCAAGCATGCCTCTGGAGTCGACTGGGTGCTGTCTACTTTATCACCTGGTACATTCTTGGCTCCTCTCTGATCTCCTGAGGATTGCCAACATTCTTTTTCAGGCAATGGCAAGTACCAGCCTGAGCCCAGCAGCCCACTGCCTTGGCATTTGACTCTCTGGCTCACTAGTCCCCTAAGGCTATTGAAAGGGTAAGAACAATGAATTTATGCACTCTTTTCAAATTATTAAGACCTGGAGTGGGGGTGGTGGGAGAGTACAGAATTGCAGATGTGCTGTCCTCTCAAGGTCTGTAGGATTATGCCCTTGACCATTTGCCCTTGACAAGACAGTTGAGAGGCCACTGCCATCAGAGCATACGGATGCAAAGAGACTTACTGGTCCAGTTATTGCTACATTCTGCAACCGAGGATCTTCCCATTGTGTTCTTTTTATATCTGAATAGGGAGAGAAATAAGGTGTTCTTGAGTCTCCTGCACAAAATTCAGTATTACAAAAAAATAATGTAATGAAAAATCATGTTGCACCTACTGTGATTAATGTAGAAGATTCTTCCATCTGTATGAGTTCTTTCTTCCCATCCTGGCTATAATGAAGAATGTATTTCAATTATTTTTGGAAAGGGTCTGAGATGTATACAGGGTAGAAAAATGGCATTTTGTTATATAGGTTATTTTCATATTCCATTCTTAGTAGAAGGCATTACACTTTTTTTTTTTTTTAAAGATTTTATTTATTTGACAGAGAGAGACACAGCGAGAGAGGGAACACAAGCAGGGGGAGTGGGAGAGGGAGAAGCAGGCTTCCCGCTGAGCAAGGAGCCCGATGCGGGGCTCTATCCCAGGACCCCGGGGTCATGACCCAAGCCGAAGGCAGACACTTAACGACTAAGCCACCTAGGCACCCCGGCATTACACTTTAATAATAACATAACTTAGAGTTGTCGAAGAACTACTGTATTCCAAAATAAAAAATGTTTGAGAGAGCCAAGTTAGATTGCTAACAATTCTATAAACTTACAGGTAAAGGCCCCAGATCATTGGAAGAATCAAGTGATGTCTTTCCTCTAAGATGAGCTGGAATTTTCAGTCTTGGATCTTCCTTTTTTTTTGGTAGAGTAAATAAAGCAAACAACAACACACACACACAAATTTTAAAATCAAGAAAGTCAATCTGTTACTATGTTTTTCTAACATCAATTGATATTTAAAATAATCTCTTTTAAAGTCTACTTTTATTCCATTTGCTTCATCTGTGAAATAGTAGTTTCTCTGTCTAAAACCCATCATTCCCAGGCTGCAAGATTCAGTCCACAGATCTCAGAGTAGGATCAGTTTTAACTCATCATCTGTTTCATAGAAGCCATTCAGAGAATTTTGCCCCACTCTTCAGGGATTGTGTCTCTACCTAGGGGCTATTCTCTCTATAAAAACTGCTGAATGAATGGACATGAAACTAGACCATGTGTTATTTCTGAGGTCTTGCGCATGCTTTTTGGCACTTATCTGTAAAGGTGTTGATGTATTAATATTTTTTAAAGCTAGGGAGGTAAGCTCAAAAAGGTTACTAAAGCCAATTCAAATTGTTGAAAAAAAGAACAAAATTCAATTTGTTTGGATTCACTTATATATATTGTTTCAATATTATTTTAAGTAGTTTATTAAACTATTTTAGTTTTATTAAGGTACTTCGGTCTTTTAAATAAATAAATAAATAAAAATCTAGTCATCTGTTGCTGATTTTCAGTCATTTTTCTCTGAGTGGTGAACCAACTGCTAAAGAGCTTTAAGGCTTATCTTAAAAGAAAAATACTATTCTACCTAGCCACCCCCAAGGTTTTCTAGGTATTAAATGAGATACGGATTCAAAAGTACCTTGGAACTACAAAGCAACATATAAAAGGATTATTACAAATACCTTCCTAAGCATTTATGCCTAGCGAGTTAAAAACGAAATAGGAAGTAAATGTATTTCCACAATCCCTAAAAATATTAAAAATGGGCATAAATATTTCTTGAGTAGAAATAATACTGTTAAGAATTCAGCATCTCCTTAAGTGAATACAAGGAAATGTAGGTTATATTAATGTACATTTAAGAGTTCCAGGGAACTATTCGTAAGAGTTAAGATCATTGCTCCAAATTCAAACCGGACAGTATTAAAGTTACCCATAAATATGTTAAGAAAAAAAAAAGAAGAAGAAGAAGAAGGTAGCAGGAGGGGAAGAATGAAGCAGGGGAAATCGGAGGGGTAGACGAACCATGAGAGACGATGGACTCTGAAAAACAAACTGAGGGTTCTAGAGGGGAGGGGGGTGGGAGGATGGGTTAGCCTGGTGGTGGGTATTGAGGAGGGCACATTCTGCATGGAGCACTGGGTGTTGTGCACAAACAATGAATCGTGGAACACTTCATCTAGAACTAATGATGTAATGTATGGGGATTAACATAAGAATAATAAAAAAAAAGTATTCAGTATTAAAGTTACCCAGGTAGTGGTTTTGGTGTTGTGATCGACAAAGAAAGGCCTCCCATTGGGTGCGTGCCGGACTTCCCAGCCTTTAGGAAGGAATCCTTGCTCCGTTTCAGACGGCTGGGTCACCTGCTGCGCTGAATCACTCGTGGGGACGTGTGGCTGAGGGCACACCGAACTCTGGCCTGACCGCAGCTGACTGGCCTCGGCTGTGGCCTAGCACAGGAAGTAAGTCATGTCGTCACGTTTTATAGAGAACACACAAATAGCTGTGGTTAAAAGGTAACTTAACCTGCAAACAGAATATATCCTTATAAATAGACCTAAACATGGCAGACTCATTTTTCTAACAGCGTTCCGTCAAACTTCGTTTTTAAAATAACTTACAATTCCTCAGCTAATTCTTGAGCGGTCCGACACTTGCCAGCAGTCCAAGTCTGCTGCGGATGCGCGTGACGGAGGCAACGAGGTCAGCGGGACCGTGCCCCAGCGCCAAGATCACCACGGTGCCAGTTCAAGGAGGCTGTCTCTGCTTGCCCCAAAGACGCACAGAATGCGCAATTCCCCACACGCAGAAGTGGCTGCCAATGCCGGGCAAACAAAATGCATGGCAAATATCCATTGCAGAATTGCATCATTGAAATGTAATGTATTCATTCGATGAAATATTAGGCAGTGGTTAAAAGAAACACACTGGACCCATACATAAGACAACATGGATAGGATTTAAAAACAATGTTGAACAAAAAAAGATTTAGAATTATATGACATCTTTGCAAAATTTGAAACACAGGAACATAAACACTACTTTGCATCATTTTAGCTCTCTCTGTAAGTATATAAAAGAGCCTGGAAGAACTGTGCGAGGCCACTGCAAGAAGATGGAAGTCTGCAGCTCAGAAGAGGGCCCTCACCGGGACCCAAAATGCTGCCCTCTGAGCTTGGTCTCCCTGCCTCCAGAACTGTGAGAAATAAGTTTCTATTGTTTAAGCAAAAAAAAAAAAAAAAAAGAAAAAAAATGACTGGAAGAATACCCAACAGACTTAAGACGGTGCTTCTCTCTGGGTAGTGGGACCAAGTGCTTGGCTAAAGGGAATTTAGTTTTATCTGTACAATTTTATATATATATTTTTAAATTGTATGCCACTGCCTTTATACTTGTTTTGTTTTAAGATTTTATTTATTTATTTGAGAGCGAATGAGAGAGAGAGAGAGAGAGCATGAGAGGGGGGAGGGTCAGAGGGAGAAGCAGGCTCCCCGCGGAGCAGGGAGCCCAATGCGGGACTCGATCCCGGGACTCCAGGATCATGACCTGAGCCGAAGGCAGACACTTAACCAACTGAGCCACCAAGGCGCCCACAATTTTATTTTTTAAATATTTTTTAAAGAGAGAGAGAGAGCCTGGGTGGCTCAGTCGGTTAAGTGTCTGCCTTCGGCTCAGGTCATGATCCTGGAGTCCCGGGATCGAGTCCCGCATTGGGCTCCCTGCTCCGCGGGGAGCCTGCTTCTCCCTCTGCCTCTGCCTCTCTCTCTCTCTCTATCTCTCATGAATAAATAAATAAAATCTTTAAAAAAAAAAAAAAAAGGAGAGAGAGAGAGAGCATGAGTGGAGGGAGGGGCAGAGGGAGAAGCAGATTTCCCCTGAGTGGGGAGCCCGATGGGGGCGTGCTCGATCGCAGGACCCTGAGATCATGACCTGAGCCAAAGCTAGACACTTATCTGACTGAGCCACCCAGGCGCCCCTGTAAGATTTTATTTTTAAAAATAAAATGCCTAGAAACAAATACGGTAATTTGTTAATGGTGGTAAATTTTGGGTGTTAAGAAGGTGTGTATTTGCTATATTGTTCTCTATACTTCTCAGTGTTAAAAAATTTCTCAGAGAAACAGTGATAAAATAAACTAAACATTTTCCTAAACACTTACGAGGAAATGTCATGAAAGGCACTTGCTGTTGCCAAGGACAAAGTGTCATTGTGGCAAATTTCTTTAACAGATCCTAATCACTAAGATTATCTTTTAGAGAAATAATGATTTTAACCATTCAAATAACAGAATTACCCAATGGACCAGATCATTTGCTCCATCCTTTTACTCCCACTTGGACTTGTTTTACATGATAGCAAGTGGTAATCATGTATGTGAGAGATCCATAGGAAACGGGAGCACCAAGGTCAGCAAACAATTAGAAGACACTAGAGGCAACCAGTATATACCACAAAATTATGTACCAGCTTCCACAGGAGTATGATGGCATAAACTATGTAAGAAAACAAGTTAACAGGTAGATTGCACAGTACCTGTACCATGGGCTTCGTCCAGGTGGTAGTTCTGGAATTGTGGTCTACATAATACGATCTTCCTCTTTCATCTTGCTTTTCTTCCCAACCTGGGGGTAATCCAGATGAAGTAGGCAAAAACTACAGTGAAGAATAATAGGAAAACTGAGTATGACTACGAAACAATCCTTTTAAAAGGACCACCTACCTCCCTTTTTCACTGCCCTCTCTCTTTAAAATGAAGAGACTTTTAAATCATATTTTGAGGTGTATGAAATGAAGTGTACCACATTCCACTTAAGAAAAACCAGAACAGACCACAATGATGAGAGTGATACCAACATTAACAAAACATGACAGTAATCACCACCACACACTAAATGTCTTAACATAGATCATGTCATTGAACCTCCACACAAATCTTAATGAGATCATTGCTTTTACTAGCCCGTTTTTATTTACAAGGAAACTGAAGCTTAGAAAATTGGGCTAATTGCCTAACAGATACATTGCTAATATGGAGCTGAGATCTGAGCCAGGTAGTCTAACTACAGAATTTATCACCCATATGTGCTCAGTCAAAAGTTACCCCTGCCGTCTTTCTGTAAGGGCTGGGGAGTTGCTACTTATGAGTTTATTACTAATGAATAAAGAGGTCTGGTTGTTCCCAGGTTTACTTAAAGTAGTCCAGGTTTGGTCTTCCTTTTGTCTTTTGGACCAGATTAGACTCCTCAAGGTTTGGCCTGTTTCCCCAATGTGTCTTATACATATAAACTATCACCACTGGTCTGTTTACCAGCTACACTGTCCCTAGACACACAGGGGTAGATGGATACTGCTGACAGATATGATGAGCTGTTGGTCTACAAAATAATGGAATTTAAAGTTGCCTGGCTTTACGAATGTCCAACAGCTGGTGAGTAGATAAATGAAATAGAGCAGATATGTCTACACAACAGAGTATCACGAACTACTGAGACATGCACCAGCATGGTCAAAACTCAAAAACATCATATGAAGTGAAATGGGCCAGATACATCAAACTACAACACTGTATGGTTCCACTTATATGAAACTTCTAGAAAAGGCAGCACTGTAGCTACAGAAGGAAGATGAGCGGTTACCTGGGGTTGAAAGTAGGTGCTGGGATTGAAGAAACTTTCTGGGGTGATGAAGGGTTCTTAGACTTGATTGTGGTAATGTTTGCACAACTGTACAAATTTATTAAAATTCATGTATTTGTACAAAATGAAGGGATTTTACTGTATGTAAATTATATCTCAAGAAAACTATTTTAAAAACTAATTCAATGTATTGAGAAGGAAAAGGTATGGAAATAGCTTTTCTAGTACGTGTAAAAACTGAAGTGCGTGTATACACAGATGAATATAAATCATCTCTAGATTCTGCTGCTCATCTGGTGAGCTTCTTGGAGGAATGCCTGTCAGTCGATCAGAAATGCGACATTTTCCTTGTATGAGGACATTACAGAGCACAGTGGGAGAAAACCACAGGTCTCTGCTTAAGCAGGCTCCAGCCTAACGGAGGAGGACAGGCAAGTGGCAATAGTGGGAGAAAGGATGGTGAGGGCCGTGCTTCTGTGGCATTTCCTCTATTGTAGACGGTCAACGCTGACTGGGCCAATGGCACAAGTGAGTTGCGCCCCCCCCCCTTCGTCAGTACAGGATTGTGTCCCTCTCTTGGTGCAGCGCCACCCTTTTAGATGGATGAGCCACTCTTGGTTCAAGGAATTCTGAGCCTCTGCATCCCTATGCTGGAATTTTCATAAAAGCAAAAACAATCCCCACTTTTCAAAATTAATGCATAGACTGCCATTCAAAATTACAAATGGCGGAAAAAGGTGAGGAGGTATTCTACGTGTGGAAAAGGCATGCACACAGAGCCAGAGGAGGGAGAGAGTCAGGAAAGGGGGCAGCCTGTTTGGAAGAAAAAGGAGGGACGGGGTGAAGGCAGCAGGAGGTTCCCGTGGGCGGATGAGGAGGATGGTAGGCTGAGGGGCTGGGAGCCTGGGAGTAAGACACAAGTGGGGGCTACGTCAAGGAGAGAGAAACTCAAAGTAATGAGAGTTGGGTCAGGAAGAGGGGGGAAGACCAAAAGGGAGTCAAGAGTCCAGGCAGGAGGCTGTTAAGGTCTAAGCCCCAGTCAAGGCTGCGGCTGGAAATCCTACTGAGAAGGAGGCAGAAGGCCTCAGTGGATGTGGAGTCTGATGGGAAGAGAGAGCAAAACTCCATCCAGCCTGGCCACTGAGCTTGCCAACACCAGCCCACCCCTGCCCAAGTGACTGATGTGCCACTTCACGTATGGGGCAGACACTGCAGCTCGATGCCAGGGGCCAGCACCCAGAGCAGAGGCAGCTGGACAGCACAGTCTCGACCCGGAAGCTGCCTACAGACCACCTCCAGCCAGCCCAGCGCCTCAGCGCACAAGCCCACATGTCGTCCCCAGTCACCGGGGCAGGGGCCTTGCTTTCTTAGCACGGGAGAGGTGGTCTCCCCCGCCTACCTACCTCATTTCCCCCTCTCCTGAACCTCATCTCCAAGAACCGAGATTCTGTGCTGGATTGGCTCATTGCTAAGCAGTCCAATGTTCATACTCAGTATTCCAAAAAAAAAAAGTTCTTGAGTTTCCTATTTTTACTGACAATGAGGGGAGAGGATAAAACTCACCACAGGAAGTGTAGGCTGTTCCTCAAAAGTATAGGCTTGTAAGCTGCCTCTTCTGCTGGAATGATTCTTATTTAAAAAAAAAAAAAAAAGTGACAATAGGTTTAGGTTTTTGATCTGTGTCTGAGTGGCAGATAAGGTATAGGGTGGAGGGGTGGGTGGGTGCGATGGGGTGGAAGGGAGAGCCACCGTGGAGTGGCACTCAGCTGCTCTCCACACCCCCATGGGCCAGCGCCTTCCACCCTATGGCTCGCTCTTCGGCCCTGGCTCCTAGGCAGCCTCCCGGACACTTTCTCTTGAATGTCTAGCGGAGACCCCTCATTGTGCCCCACACTCATTCGCTTTTCCCCTGTCCACACCCACTCAACCCTGTTCCTTGTTTCGGGGGGAAGGGCTGGAGTCCAGCAGCGGCTGCCCTCAGGTATCAGTTCATCCCCAGACTCCCCTCCCATCCCTTACAGGCAGGGCAGTCACCAGATCTTACTGTTTCTTTCCCAGCTCTCAACTATATTCTCCTTGCACTTTAGTTCAAGTTGGGTTTTCTGTTTTGTTTTGTTTTTTTTAAATTTCAAGTATTCATCATTTGTTGCCTTGCCTGTCACGGCAGCAACCTCCTCACAGATCTCCCTGCTTCAAGTCCGATTTCCTTAAAGCCGCCCTCCATGCTGCGCACTGTGGCCAGAGCACGCCCCACAGTGCAGACCCCATCACATCGTTCTCGAGTGCAGAGCCCTTCTGTGACCTCTCACAGTCACCAGCATGAAATCCATAGCACAGAATGTAGTGAGCTCCCAGACCAGGCTGCTCCTCATAGCTCCAGCCCTTCCCACCTCAACACCCACCCTCTGGACATTCTAGATGACTCGTCCCCTCAGAAGCCCCCTATTCTTTCTTTCCCTGTGCTTTCATATGCAGGCTGTTGTCACTATCCAAATTTTTTGATGTTATTAAATAACAAAATAAAAAACTTATAACACACATATAAATTAAGTCAAAATATCTACTGTAGTATTGTTTACAAGAACAAAGAACTGCAAACAATCTAAAGTCTATCAGTAGGAGATTGGTGAGATATCTTAATGATTACTTGCACAAAAGAATGATGTTTGATGATTTTTCTTTGTTGGTTTTAAAAGAGGACATCTATATGTACTGAAATGGTCCAACATGTATGATACAACAAGTGAAAAGAGTTAAGTTACCAAAAAGATGATCTCAGGTTAAAAAAATTATGTACAAATATATGTGTGTCATACATGTTTATAAATATATAGAAAATATTTAGGGGTGCCTGAGTGGCTCAGTCGTTAAGCGTCTGCTTTCGGCTCAGGTCATGATCCCAGGGTCCTGGGATCGAGCCCTGCATCGGCCTCCCTGTTCCGTGGGAGGCCTGCTTCTCCCTCTCCTACTCCCCCTGCTTGTGTTCCCTCTCTCGCTGTGTCTCTCTCTATCAAATAAATAAATAAAATCTTAAAAAAAAAAAAATTAGGACAATATATGCCAAACCATTAATAGCAACTGAGGGAGCATATGTTAGAAGTAAGACGGAAGACTGAATTTTTGTTTTATATACTTCAATACTGTTTGAATTTTTAACCATGGCCATATAATACTTTAAAAATAATAAATTATTTTTTAAATTAATATACACATGTATGAAATTCAAAAGGTACAGGGGCACCTGGGTGGCTCAGTTGGTTAAGCATCTGCCTTCTGCCCAGGTCTCAGGGTCCTGGGATCCAGCCTCACGTCGGGCTCCCTTCTTGGCGGGGAGCCTGCTTCCCCCTCTCCCTCTGTCTGACTACTCCCCTTGCTGTGCTCTCTCTCTCTCTTTCTCTCTTGCAAATAAATAAATAAAATCTTAAAAAGAAACACAAAAAAAGAAAAAAAAACCCAAAAAAGCAAAAAAACCCCCCAAAACTCACTTCATTCTTTTCATAGCTGCATAGTATTTCATTGAATGCCATCTACCTCCCTGTTTAGTCCAAGTACGTCAGCTCTTATTCACATGTGTGTGTGGTGACAGGTGTGGTATAACTGAGGGGGAGAAAAGTAGCCTCAGACATGCAGGACTTGCTTGGCTTTCGTCAGTCGGATCAATACAAAATCAAGACCACTTTGTAATCATGCCTGAACACAGACAAAATGTGAACACTGTCCAAGTCACAAAATACCAAAGATCCCTCCATCCTGGCAAATCTGAGTGACGACTGCTTTTTTACGAATTACAGCTTTAGCCTCGCTATACATAAGATTTGAGACACACAATCACAGAATCATTCCTGCTTTTTTTTTTCTTTTAAGTGGGTCCACACCCAGCATGGAGCCCAATATGGGGCCTGAACTCACAACCCAGAGATCAAGACCTGAGATCAAGAGTCAGACGTTTAATTAACTGAGCCACCCAGGCACCCCACACTCTCTTGCTTCCTCACAGCATCCAGGGCAGAGCAAAGTCCTGCTTCCTTAAACCATCCTCAAAATCACCTAACATGAACCCAAATCCTCCAAGTCTTTTCTAACGTACTCTTTTTTTTTTTTTTAAGATTTTATTTATTTATTTGACAGAGAAAGAGACAGCGAGAGAGGGAACACAAGCAGGGGGAGTGGGAGAAGGAGAAGCAGGCTTCCCGCCGAGCAGGGAGCCCAATGTGGGGCTCAATCCCAGGACCCTGGGACCATAACCTAAGCCGAAGGCAGACTCTTTAAAGACTGAGCCACCCAGGCGCCCCTTCTAACATACTCTTACTGAGACACTCAGGGTGTGTGTTCTCCTTGCTGAAATGAGTAATAAACCCAACATGTTTAATTACAGGTGTGTTCCTGAGGGTCTTTGGCTGGGAGGCACTGGTTTATGTAATGGCTATTTAGACTCCAATGACCATTTGGGTTATCCATGACTCTGCTCTATACTATTAGTGGAGATATTCGAAAAAATGACCATACTGTAAAGTCCTAAAGCCCCTAACACACTATTATATGCCATTTAAGACATAATTTTTCTCATCACAAGAAAAAAATTTGTAGCTATGTGAGATAATAGATGTTAACTAGACTTCGTGTGGTAGTAATTTTGCTATTTTTTATATATATATATATATGTATGTATATCACATCATTATGTTGTATACCTTAAACTAATCCAGTGCTGTCTGTCAATTACATCTCAATAAAACCAGGGATAAAAGACAAAATTTTATGTAAATGTTGGATAACCAATGGAATAATATATATAATATAAAATCCTGAAGCTAAAACAAAATCTAAGAGCATCTTACCGAGCTGGATACTGGCTGGCCGGTGGCTGAATTTCTACAAATTGTGAGTCTGGCATTCAATTCTTCTGCAAGATGAGTCTGAACATCCAAGTTATTTGATGCTGGAGATGATGGGAAGGCCTGATTGCTATACATGGTGGCTTCATCTTCTCTTATAATTTCCCAGTTCTAAAACAAACAGAATAATCTTAAGCCACACATACTTTAATCTTACTGCTGTAACATGTGTCTATGGACAAGAACAAGAAAATTCTTTCTACCTCGGAAGACTCTCGATTATCCACACTTTCTGTCTCCTCAGATATCTGCCGCCTGGTGGTAAATGCACGCTGTGCTTGCAGTTGTATGTTACCGTTCTCAGCATCTGTTAGGTTGTCCCTGGATTAGAAATAGAAAAACTATCACTCATGTCTGAAGATAGTTAAAATGATAGTCAAAGATGCTATGATCATTTAAAAAAAATACCTTAGATTAGAATTCACTCGTTTGGGCCAAAGCCTATTTCAACACACACAGATGAAGTCATGGGCACATTGGTTTCTTCAGAGTACCTTGTGCAATTAAGGTTTTGTGAAAATGTGTAACACGTCTGACTTTGATATTTTAGTTCATCACCATGCCTAGGGCAATGTTTGACATGTAAGGGCACTCAAAAATATTTGTTGAATAATGAATTTCTGAGAGTTTTGTAAATAATTTCATTATATTATTATTTTGCCATGTTATGATATGAGTAAAATCTAAAGTAGCTCTAGAGAGATTACAAAAAAGAAGCTTTAGGAGCTAGTTACATATACAGCTTCAAGAACCAGACAGTAATGTTTTCCAGAACTGATCTTAAGCCAAGAGTAGAGTTCCCCATGCACGAATGCAGAGGGCAAAATGAAGTATCATGTAAGAAACACTGTAATTAAAAACTTAATAGATCCCAGATTAAACAGTATCTGTTTTTGATCATTAACAGAAATAGGTCTGGTCTGAAAAAAGATAATAGTAAAAACATGTCTTGAGTTTAGGAACATTATAGTAAATCAGACTGAACACCATTACCCCATTTATTCCATTATTCTAGCTATTTGTATTTAGTATAATCAGACCTTCAGATCAAGAATTTTATAAAATATTTAATAACAAAATTATTGTTAATTTATTTAATGCCATATAAGCCCAGGGTAGTTGGAAGATCAATTCTTAATGTACTATTGCTGAAGAAAACATAATTTTGACAGATGGTTCTAAGAGAATGCTTCAGATTTTTTTCTCCTCAATACCTGATTTAGGCTAGCTGAAAGTGACATCAACCGTAGTGAAAGAAATGTGATTCTGTTCAAGTCAGGCTTGCTATAATACTGAGGTCTGCAGTAGGACAATTTTGTAGACTTTCACAGTGTCTTCAGTTTTACGGTTTGTACAGGTCCCTAAGAGATTGATGCTTCTGTGCCACGAAGAACCAGGATCACTGATTTGCTTTGGAAGGATTTGAGAACAGAAAATATCTATGAAAGTGCTTGGACTGTATCAGACACAAAATACCAAAGCCAAAAATTAGAAATTAATGGACAAATATGAAAAATTTTAAGTCTCTGTCAAAAAGTAGAAGACTAAAGAAAGCCTTCATAAGGCCATAAGGGAGGAGAAATGGAAGGGCATTTGATAATAAATGTGAGTAATGGGACATTTGTAAATGTATATTTAGAAATACACAGTCTAATGATAGTCAAAGAAAAATGTCACTGAGAAGACATAAATTAGAATACCTTAAAGGTCATTCTTTCTGTCCTTGATCTGTGTGCATTGAAAATTGTGTATGCATTGACAAGATTGGCAAATGAGTGTTTAACAAAAGACCCTTGTTATTCAGTCCTTTATGTTTTATAAGTAATTTATACTTAAAAATAGTGTACTGTAGAAATTAACATTTTATTATATTTTAGTAACAAACTACAAAAAATTTCCAAGATTTTCTAAACAAGTCTAAAGAGAAAAACCTATCCTTTGTGGCTACAAAATAATTTAACATAAATAAGCAATTAGAAAGGTAGTATTTGTGACTCCAATAATTTTGAATATTATCAAATCATTTAAAAAAAGAAACAGTTAAGATGGCATTTTTAAAACCCTGGATCATAAAAATCCTCCTCACATTTTTACAGCTTATGGATCCCTATACTACTATGAACCCATTTGAGACACAACTTCAAAATGAAAATTAGAGGTCAAAATGTATTCATATCACAAATGTAAAAGCCACCGGCACATACTGAGGGGTTGGTCTTTTCCACTGTGTTCTTCTAGATTCATGGTTTACATAGTAGGTCCTTCCAAGAATATCCTGCCTCTCTTCCCATCCTGGAGGTAGAGGAGAAGGTTCTTGTTGTTGCTGCAAATGGCAAGCAGCATCTGGTTGGTCCAAAACAACCCAGCCGGGCTGAAAAACAGAGTGGTAACAATTAAGTTTATGATTAATTTTTTTAACCTTATAAATTATGCTGGAGGAAATTTAAAAAGAGATTAGCATATCCAGTTCCAGAAATTATGCAAGGAAAAATTTGCACAGTGTCAACTTTTAAGACCATAATGTGAACATTTTATGATAATGAAGACTTTTTTCTGCAAAATGACAACATGTAAATTTTGCTTGAAACTTTTAACATTTTTCAAAAAAGTTTTAAAACACACCTAATAGGAAAAAAGGGACAGAAAACATTTTAATATTTTTAAAGGTTTTATTCTTTAGTAGTCTCTATACCCAACGTGGGGCTTGAACTTACAACCCCAAGATCAAGAGTTGCATGTTCCATCTACTGAGCCAGCCAGGTGGCCCAGGACAGAAAAAAATTTTAAGTAAACAAACAATGATGGGCAGCACTGAGAAACACAGTTTAAACTCGTGTAACCTTAGTCTGTTCTTTAAATTACAAGCAAATGAATGAAGGACAAGAATATTGTCTTATTGGGCATTGTCTTTCCCATAGAGAAAGGATCTTGGTATGGTAGAAATCAGTAACTAAGTAAGACCTGAAAAAAAATCACTAGATGAAGCCTAAATATGTGTAGGCTTGACAGGGAAAGGCAAAGGATTTAGAAATAATTGCTACAATGAACTCTCTAGCAACTGAAAAGCCATTATGATTCTCACATCTGACTTTTCTCTCTCTGGATTATGGAAAGGCATTTTGGTCAGGTCATAAAATAGTCGAAGAAATAAAATTTCATTTGTTTTCTTTGTTTGTTTTATTTAAGTGCTAGTAAAGCACTGGAAATTTCCTCTGGTACTAGTGAGGGGCATATGTACATGAAGCCTAAACTAGGGTAGTTAGGGTAAGGAATTACTCAGAAGGGTAGCAAGAGTTAATGGCATGTTTTTACATAAGAAACTTCCTAACAGAAAAGGACTACTAAATATCAATACTAAATACCAATAAATAAATAAAAGGTCCTACTAAATACCAATATGGCTAGGGAAGCAGAAATAAATGAGTGAAGAAAACTTAAAAATTCTCCTGAAGAGACATAAAAAGAGACCTGAATGAATGAAAAGACATAATATGATATTGGTTAGGAAGACTCAGCCTCACAAAGGTGTCAATTCTCCCCAAGTTAATATATAAAGTGTCCAAGATTCCGATAAAACTACATTACAGATTTTTTTTTTTTTTTAAAGTAGGCTCCACACTGGGCATGGAGCCCAACATGGGGCTTGAACTCACAACCTTGAGATCAAGATCTGGGCTGAGATCAAGAGTCAGACACTTAACCTACTGAGTCACCCTGGCACCCCTACTTTACAGATTTTTATAAATAATGGGACAAGGCAATTCTCAAGTTCAAATAGATACACAAACAAGCAAGAATAACCAGCACAGTTCTAAAAACAGAAGAATGAGTGATTAACTCTACTGAATAAAATATAGCATACACTACAACAATTAAAGCTGTGGAGCATTGAGGTACACTCAGACAGCTCAACAGAATGAATCAGAAAGCCCAGAAAGACTCAAATTTATAGGACTTTAGGATATGATAAAGACAGTTCAAATTTGTGGGGAAATACACACAAAAAATATGTGGGGTGCTACCTCATACCTTCTACCAGGATGTTACAGATTGAACAATGTTTAAATGTTACAAAGTAAAACCAACATGTATTACAACACAACTTGAAATTTAAAAGAACATGTTCCAAGACTGGGGAAGCCTTTGAGTATGAAAAAGACTGACAAATTTGATTACAAAACCCCCAAATTTGTACGTGGCAAAAATTACCAAGTCAAAGTGAAAAAAAAAAGACTGGGAAATGTATTTGGTAACATAATAACAGGCAAAAAAATAATGTCCTTAATATATACAGTCTTTCTTTCGAGGCACTGGGGATCTAGCACTGAAGGATGGTTGTGTGCCAGCCAGTGGATGGCTTAGAAGGTGGAAGAGAGTTCTTTTACGTTGGAAGCCTGATTCTGAAAAGAAAGGGCCAAGGAGGAGAGCTGAGAAGGAAGGGAATGCTTTCTGGCAGCCTGGAGAAAAGGAAAGGGGTTTCTGCAGCAAGGGTGATCTCTCTGGCTGGTCTGGTGGGGAGGGTTATCGGTTATAGGCTGAGGCAGGACAGAAGGTGAGGGGGGCAGAGGGGGCAGGGAGAGAGGAAGACAGAAAGAATTCTGGAAAAAGGGATCTGGATGGGAAGTAAATTCACTCCCTTTCTTACTCTTATTTTTTTTCCTTTTTACCTTTTCTACGGAATCGACATCTCTTTAATTTTGCTTTCTTTTATTGCTCTATTTCTCTCCTTTTCCTTTATCCTCTTACTTTCTCTCTCCAACTATATTTACCTTCCTTCTCTTTCTTCTTTCCATTCCTTTAAATGATCATAATGTAGGATCTACAGACTTAAAAATTAGTCTTGTATATATTAAATCAATTTTATTTCTCTGGTCTCCATTTTAAAAGTAGGTGAATTGAATTTTTGTATTTCACTCTCTTGAAAAATGGTTAAGTTTTTAAAAATATGGTCATTGATTATTTTTCTGTAGATTAATAAAATTTATTAATAAGCGGGTCCTCACTACTGCTGTAAAGGATTGTAAAAATGTTTAGAGCTAGGAAAATGGTACCACAAGATTATTTCTTTAAAATCTTAAAGATTTCTCTCTTAAAGGTCTTAGTGAATTTATGTTATCTAAGTAAACTTGAGAAGGTAAAGGCCTAATTTTTAAAAACCTGTTTCAAGTTCTAGGAAGTACAGTTGTACATTTGAATATTATTTAGAAAAACTGAGTTTTCATTTTTTTTGTATAGAATGCCTCCCTATGAAACATATATCAGCTAATATTCTTCACAAAATAATTTTCTAAGTATCAATGAATGTTATTTAATTACTAACTTGAAAGCTAGTATGCAATTGCCAACAATTTAATGGAGTCAAAGAGGATCAGAAAGAAAGCATTCAGAGCTACAACACACATTAACGTTAGTCTTGCAAAATATATACAACTAAATCTAAAGTTGCAAAGGGTATAAAAATCAAATGTTAAATAATAACCTATTACAGCCAGGCTTTGATATACTAAGGAATACAGGTTGCCTAAGTGTGAGCCTCTTTTGAAAATGACAACTGTTTTCTTTAAATAGAATTTTATATATTCAGTTACAAATTAGATGTCAAAGACAAGATTTCTCTGGTCATTAGCTACACAGAAGATAAATAAGCATAGATTCATGTGTTTAAATTCCTAGGGCCTTTCATAAATAAACTCCTACATGCTTACATCTACTGAAATTATAAGGTGCATTCTGAGGGAATTCAAACATTGAGACCTGAGACCACAAAATGAAGCGAAGCAACTCTACCCACGGGAACCGAACTGTGAATAAGGTACCTATGATATGTGTGTGTGGGCAAAACTTGGAGCAGGTTCCTAAATAATGAAATGCTGTTAAATTTTTTTTAGTTACTAAATAAAGAATTTTCTTTATGGCAGGCATCCTTCATCTCAAACAGAATTCCATTATGCAAGATACCCTGTGTACCAAAATGCCAGGCAGAGAAACTTCAATAATAAATACCTAAAATTTTAAAAAAGTGATTATTATATGATAAATCAGAGAAAAACTAAAAAAGAAAAGGTAATCAAATACGCAAATATAGACTTAAGAGAGGGTACCATGTTTTTTGATTGACAAACTAAGGGTTAACTATATTCTGTGATTTAAAGAAAAAAGTTCTTTCCTTCTATTATTACAGATTTCCCCATAAAGTAAACTCTTCTTAGTGCATATAAGAAATTCCCAGAGGGGCACCTGGGTGGCTCAGTCAGTTAAGTGTCTGACTTTTGATCTCAGCTCAGGTCTTGATCTCAGGTTTGAGTTCAAGCTCTGTGTTGGAGCCTACTTAAAAAATTCCCAGAAAGCTCTGTTACAAAAGCATGGCTTGTTCTCGAGCTTTCTTTCTCAAGGTATGTGAGTATGTGAGGTACTGTCCAGTGCTGGGGGAGGTCCCTCACCTTTACAGTTCTTCTGGAGGCTTAACCAGACCCTCAGCCAAAGAGGCATGACTGTTGAGGAAGGCACACACAAGAAAACTCTTCAAAGCAAATTGGTGCCAATATACTGTGTGCTTTCAGTAAATGTTGCTTCAGTGGGAATGTCAAGAGGCAGTTGTTTTAGGGTCCCCTTTTCAAATCACAAATTTTTCTGCTGGAAGAAACCATAGAGGTCATCTGGTACAATACTGTCATTCTACAAATGAAGAGCCTACGGTTCAGAGACCTTCAACAATTCACACAGTCACTTGGCTCACTAGCAGCAGAGGTTGGGATGAGAATTCCAGCCTCCAAATCCCCATCCAATTCTATTCCAAATACATGCTCTCTGCCTCTTCCTCACTTACCCTTGATGTATGTAGCTCTGCCCAAATACTTAACTTGAGCTTCTTCTTACCTGTCATCCATGAAAATTGTTAAATTCTATTTGCCCCAGATAAATATGGCCTCTTATTAGATCACTTGAATTCCTTCCCTCTCTCATTCCCTCCTTTCCTCTGAGCCCTCCCATCCTCACCCCAACCATGAGAGGAAAAGTAACAAGAATTACATTTCATAAAAGAGTTCCTAATTAGTGGAGTCTTCTCAAAATTTCCATATATTTAACTTACAAATAGTAAATTGTATTCTTACTTTAATGGAGGGGAGAAGGACATGGTTTTAGAAAACTCTAAAAAAACAGAAAGAGTTAATGACTTAATTACAATAAATGCTTTCATTTATAAACATTGTATTCTCTATTCACTAACCTTTAAGAATGCCATCAATAATGGCTATTCATTCTACAGAAATGTCCTTAGAAGGAAGAAATGTTTAATGAATGCTTGGGTAAAATAAACAAATGCCCATGTAAATAATTTTTATTGCACACATTAACTTCATTGAATAAAGTTATTTTTTTCTTCAAAGTACAGTAAAATAAGAAATGAGATATTTTCTTCTCAGTTGAACCAAATATTTGTAAGATCTCACCTCTAATTCCTCAGCCTGTTCTGTGTTATCTTCTTCTGAGCCACTGGTTTTAGGTAAATAAGTCATTTTTAATCTCAGATAACCTTTAACTCTTGATTTGTGACTGTAGAAAAGAAAATAATTATTCGCAAAACTTTAAGAAGAAAAGCATTCATTTAACAAGAATTTACTGAATACCTACTAGCTACTAGAGGAGACCCAAAGACAAGCTCGAGGACAGAACATATCTAGGCAAAGGAGTGAGTGGAGGACAAAATGTAACAAACATAAATAAAAGTTATGAAATAAATAAGATACTAAGGAAGTGTGAGTGACAGATCAGGGAGAAGGTCAGCGAGCAGTTGCATTTGAGTGGGCGCCAGCAGACTGGGGAGGATTTTGATCTGTGGCAATGAAGGGAAAAGCATGTAAGTGGAGAAAAGAGTAAAAAATGAGCAAATGGATGGGAAAGCTGGGGATCAATGAAGGGAATGGCAATCATCGGGCTTGGCTGGCCTACAGGATACATGGAGGAGGTAGGGATGATCCAGAGGATGAGGTCCATGTGAAACAAGAGAACTTTCAATTTTACTTTGTGCACACTGTCAAGCCAGAGAATTCGGGGGATAGGGAGAGGCATCCTCAGAGATATGCTTTGGGGATACTAATCTAGTCAGACTGGAGAGGAGGACAGGAAAGTGGAGAGCAAGGCCTGCTAACTGTCAGAGACCTACTGTCTTTCTTTGACAGCTGTTTGAATCTATCATACATTAATTTATCTACTCTATTTTCATAATGTATCTTGTATTTCCTCTTCGAATAATGAGTTGTCCAAGCTAAAGGCTGCTGTACATTGTGTTAATACTTAAAAAAAATTAAATCTGTGAATGGCCCCCAACAATTCTAGCATCCTACTTACTTAAGAAATCTTTCCTTGTCCTCACTTTCTGTATAGATATTTTGGTGATTTTTATAGATATCAGTTATGTAACTCATTACCCCTTTTCTTTCTTGACAAAAAAGTCGCATCTTTTATTCTATATTCAAGAGATACTCCCTTCCCCACCCCACCTAATCTCTTAGGTGTTCTTTGTACAGTTCTCATGAACTTGGAAACTGTACCTTTCCTGAGTGGTCAATAGAATCCCTGATGCTTATTTCCAAGGTCACTAATGTGGCTTGTGTCTCCACTTTTAAGGGGGAGTGAACACTGACTTGTTGCCATAACAGACATGTACAGAAAACTTGCTCAGATAATGGTTTTTACAAGCGTTTCTTTATAGTGATATGTTTCATGTCTTTTTTAAAAAGGTTTTATTTATTTATTTGAGAGAGGGAGAGTGGAGAGAGGAGCAGAGGGAGAGGGAGGAGCAGACTCCACACTGAGCAGGGAGCCCAACGCAGGGCTCGATCCCAGGACCCTGAGATCATGACCCCAACCAAAATCCAGTCAGCCACTTAACTGACTGAGCCATGCAGGTGCCCCTCACGTCTTTTCAACCAGACAATAAGCCTGTCGGTTTGGACTTAATGGGGCTCAGAAAGTCTAAGAATGTAGTACATTTTCTATTGATTTAAAGTTCTTTCTGCACTTGCAGTGATATCCAGTGCAGACAGAAGATGTAAATTATATTTTTTAAAGATAAGGATACTAGAAAACATTTGACAAAATGAAAAGCAGGCTACTAGGGCAATCAAATAAGAGAAGAAAATATTGATTTATTCTTGGTATGCAGATACCACAAGCAGTCTAAAACTAAAAAAGGAAGAAAAGAGATTTATATTCTAAGACTTCTGCAGAAGTTAAATATATGACTTCTCTTATAGAAAGTAAATATTAAGAGAGCACTGTCCCTTTTATTTTGCTTTAATAATTTATATTACAGAGCAATTAAATGTTTTTAAATGAAAAATTTTACTAAGTTCCCACAGTATAGCTTTCAAATGTATTTTCTAGTTTTAAAAACAAGACAAATATTGTTGTACAGATGTACTTCATTATTCTGTGACTTTTTTGACAATAAATCCATACATGTCTTCACTAGATTTTACTTGGCTATGTGGTACAGATGATCAAAGGAGTTTTATTTACAGCTTAAACTTAAAAATTTTAACCAAAATCAAATAATTCAGTTTAGGAAAATGGAATTATGAACATGTTATTTAGGTTTTAAATTCTAGTCTTTGCTCATGTTATTTTCTCTAAATTTTGGGTTTTCTGAAATATTTTTTATTAACATATGCAAGATGTAGTTAGGTTTTTCTGAAATTGGTTTTGCGCACATTGTTGGATATTGCTTTGGTGGAACTAATGTCTGTGATTTTTAAAAGGATAGTATGACAAAATTACATATACTTTAAGATATAAAAGGAATAATAAAACAATAATAGTAAATTTCCACCTTCTAATCTGATAAATATTATGGGGACAAGTCTTTCCTAAGAAGTATGAAAAATACTTTTCTGTGTTTTCAGAATTTTTTGTGCTGTGCATATATTACTTTTTAATCAGAAATAACAGTAAAGCTTTTAAAAAATAATATTTCGAGGTAGCTTATTTACAAAGGTTTAAACTATGAATTTCCAAAGAAGCTACTATAATGTATAATGAGATTAAAAAAATTAATATGTTGTCATTTTGTATTTACTGACCTTCTTGGGTGAAGAACAAAATCCTTAAACGTATATGGTCTCTCCATTCTTGGATTTTCTGTCTAGAATAAAACAGTGGGTTTTCAAGATATATCTATAAATACCAAAAACATGTACTTCTAAGGAATATTCATGATATGATCTAAGCCATCACTGAAGTTAGAAGTGAGAAAAATGTGGCTTTAGCTCATTAAACGGTTATAACTGGTAGCTTGACAGGGCTTTCCCCTTTCTGCACCCTAGGACTTGCGGCGGTCACACCTCAGTACCAAACAGGCTGAGCAGGTGCCCTGAGGAGCCAATGGAGGGAAGCGGAAACAAAGTAGAGTGGTTAGCATGTTGGTGCCCCAAAGGAATATGGAGTACATGCAATGGCAGCAGGTGGGCGTGGTTAGAGCATAGACACCATTCTAGGAAAACAAAAAAGGAAATGGCCTGGAAAGTGAGACTGGATTAAATATATTATCAAAAGTGTGTAATCTCTAAAAACTGTGGAGAGCCAATAAATATCTCAAAAGACTGATACAGTAAAGAGGTATTACTTCTCTTTCTTATCAAGTTCAACAGCCCTTTGCTTTTATTATTCTTTACTTCTTACATTTTGCATTAACTACCCATTTGGTCTTGGAACTCTTTCCTTAAATTCTCATCACATTATTTTACTTGTTTGTTTGTTTTTTCGTTTCTCCTTGTCTGTGTTCTTCTCCTCCGATTGACCCACACTGAGGCTCAATGTCTGGTCTTTGATGCTCTCATCTCTCTTACTTGGACAGCCCATCATTCTCAGAGATTCTGCTGTTACCTCGATGTGGTAACTCTCAATCCTCCCAGTCTCTTTCTCTACACAACTGATTTTTGTATTTCTGTTGGCTGCCCACTTTAGGCTTCCATTTTTCCTGTTTTCTATTGAAATTCATTATGGCCAAAGATAAATGTATCCTTTTTCAAAACAAAATGGCCTTTCCTCCTAACTTTTCTACTTGAGACACCACCTTAATTTCCAAAATTCAACCTGTATTATCATTACTTTTTTTTTTTTTCCTCAACCTCCATGTCAGAAACCTGGCCTAAAAAAAAAAAAAAAAAAAAAAGAAACCTGGCCCAATGGTGTTTTGTTATGAAATGTTTCCTGAGTGTTACCTTCCTTCATTGTGGTAAGATGCTTGGTCCACATTCAGTTTCATGCCCATATTGTCATAAATGATCCTAGGTTCTTTCTGTGAGACTAAGCTCTCCCCACTCTACGTATTCAGCAGAATATTTCCAAACTGATTTTCCTCAGACATGCTTTCCTGATATCAACCAACCTCAGCAACTCTCTATTTCTTACTAGGGTTCATGTAAGGGAATCTTGGAAATAAAATTAAAATGGAAAATTGAGATGAGTTTTCAGAAAATAATATGCTCGAGGAATAATAGCAGTATACATTTTACAAATCAAATATTTACATTTACTATATATTGTGCATCTGTAAGTATTTATTAGAAAAAAAAGAATAAACATAAAAATTAAAATCATGGACATCTATACCAACCGGTAATGGATAAAGAGGAACATCCACTTGACCTAGGAAATCATCTCTTGTCTACAAGAAAAAAAAGAAAAAATAAGATTAGTAATATGCTCAATGTTTTTAGAAAAAATTGATGAACTATTGCCATCATTCATAAAAAATACAGAAGTCTTTTTTGTTGCTGTTTAATCCTATGCAATATCAATGGAAAATAAAATGGAATATGGTACAATTTGTGATAATGGCAGGATAGAGTATATTAGACTGGTCCTTTTGCAGATAATAATTATATACCCTGAAAAAATATAAAAACTATTTGAAAGCACTCTAGAGTTACCATAAGCAAGTAGAAACTGAAGGGGAGTCGATCTTTGAAAGAAGAAACTGTATTGTGTAGGATTCGTATTTCCATGGCTTTTTACCTGATAGTACTTTCAGTTCATATGGTGGGATGATTAGAACTCAAGCAGGAATCTGACATCTTACTCACTTGAGGAGTATGAAGACCTAGTTTGAGGTTAACAGCATAACTAGAAAGTGAGGGAGACAATTTCTGCAAGAAAGAAGCCACAGAAGTCCCTCCAAATCTATACATAAACTCCACCCAAATTCTTAGCTGATCCCTGAACTGTATCTATGAAAGGCAGCAACTGGACCACTGAGCATAGATTCCAGCTGATGTTCACCTAAGGGGAGATAACATTTGGATTTCAGCTGAGTTAACAACTTGCTAGAACAAAAGTCAACACTCTTCAGGGAAAGATGGTAAAATTTACGGTCTCAATCATGTACCACACACACTGTCCAGTATACCATAAAAAGTTACTAAACACGGGAAGAAACAGAAAAATGTGATCCAGTATCAAAAGAAAAGGTCATTCAGGGCGCCTGGGTGGCTCAGTCGTTAAGTGTCTGCCTTCGGCTCAGGTCATGATCCCAGGGTCCTGGGATAGAGCCCCGCACCGGGCTCCCTGCTCGGCGGGGAGCCTGCTTCTCCCTCTCACACTCCCCCTGCTTGTGTTCCCTCTCTCACTGTGTCTCTCTGTCAAATAAATAAATAAAATCTTTAAAAAAAAAAGAGAAAAAGAAAAAGTCATTCATAGAAATTGGCCATAAGATAAGCCAGATCTTGGAATTAGCAGACAGGGAAACTAAAGCAGCTATTATAAAGATGTTCAAGGACTTAAAAAGAAAATAAGGTCATAATGAATGAATGGAGGGGGAATCTCAGTAGTGAAATGGAAACTATAAAACTAAATCAAATGTATATTTTGAAATACATATAGAATTGAAAAATATAATATCTGAATTAAAGATCACTGGATGGGCTTAACATATGACTGGAGAAAAGTTCCATGAACTTTAAGATACAGCAATAGAATTTATATAATATGAAAAATAAAGAGGACTTACGGAATAATTTCATGCAGTCTAATATATGTGTAATTGGAGTGCCAGAAAGAGAGGGGAGGGGAGAGAGAGGGAGAGAGGGAGAATAAGAGAATAGGAGAAAAAATATTGGAAGAAAAAAGTAGCCAGCTTCCCCAAACATTAACATCTTACATAACCATAGCACAATGATTAAAACCAGGAATACTATTTTTTTTAGAGGAAATAATAACACTTTCATATATTTAACCATTTATTCTTAAGTTTTTAATTGTAAATAAAAACCTACACACATAACAGTGTCTGTCACCCATAATATTTATCAAAGTGTTTAAAATAACTTATGAAAAATCTTGTCCCTCCAAGTTCCCAGAATGAGGCAGGGTTAACTGTTCAATAAACTTCCTTCAGATATTTTCCTACATATATGCATCCACATACCTTTTTTTTAATTAATGTGTAATAAACACACAACACTATATTACTTTCAAGTATACAACATAATGAATCAATATTTGTATATATTTATTTAACATCTTTCACAATAGTTTTTTTTCTTGTGATGGGAACTTACAAGATTTGCTCTCTTAGCAGCTTTAATGCAATACAGTTTTATTTATAGTTGCCATGCTGTACATTACACTCTCATGATTAATTTATCTTAACTGTAAGTTTATACCTTTTGACTCCCTTTACCCTTTTCACTCACCCCCACCCTCTTCCTCTGGAAACTACCAATTTGTTCCCTGTGTCCAAGAGCTTTTTTTTTTTTTTTTAAGATTCCACAAGTAAGTGAAATCATATGGTATTTGTCTTTGTCTGACTTATTTCACTTAGCATAATACCCTCAGGGTCCATCCATGTTGTTGTAAATGGCAAAATTTCATTCTTTTTTGCTGAGTAATATTCCATATATATATTTAAAACCATATATATGATTAAAACCATTTTCTTTATCTATTCATCCACTGATGGACCCTTGCATTGTTTCTATAGTTTGGTTATTGTAAATAATGCTTCAGTGCAATGGAGGTGCAGATATCTTTTAAAGTTAGTGTTGTCATTTTCTTTGGAAAAATACCTAGCAGTGAAATTGCTGGATCATATGGTAATTTTGTTTTTAATTTTTTGAGGAATCTCCATACTGTTTTCCTTATTGGCTGTACAGATTTACATTTCCATCAACAAGGCACAAGTGTTCCTTTTTCTACACATCCTCACCAACACCTGTTATTTCTTGTCTTTTTTATAATAGCAATTCTGACAGGTGTGTGGTGATATCTGATGTGGTTTTCATTTGCATTTCCTTGATGATGAGTAATGTTGAGCATCTTTTCATGGGTCTATTGGCCATATGTAAATCTTCTTTGGGAAAATGTCTATTTAGAACATCTGCTCATTTTTTAAATCAGATTGTTTGTTTGCTATTGAATTGTATGAAAAAAACAGTAATAGTATTAGTTAATCTACAGACCTTACTCAAATTTCACCAACTGTCCCATTAATTTTGTTCCAGGATCCAATTCAGGATCACACACTGCACTTAGTTATCATGTCTCCTTAATGTCCTTTAATCTGGAAAGTACCCTCAGTCTCTTTTTCTTTCATAATCTTGACTCTTATGAAGAATAATGGGTAGTTATAGAATGTCCATCAATTTGGGTTCACGAAATGTTTCTTCATGGTTGAATTTAGGTTATGCATTTTTTTGCAAGAATACCATAAAAGTAATATTGGCACTTTTCTCAGTGCATCATGTCAATAGTCAATAAACATTGGAATCTTATACATTATGGACAGTGAAGGACCACTAAATATTTGAGGACAGTCTATAACTAAATCCCCCCCAAGAACCAAACAGAAAGAAGGGAGTCAGAGGAATCAGAATCAAGTCAGACTACAGGAGAAATACTTTAGAAAAACTATAATTAACATTCTCAGAGGTAAAAGATGAAACATCTGTCAAACAGAATAGGAACTTATAAAAAAGAAGCACTTAGAGAATAAAAAAGAGCTGTCGGGAATTAAAAATATAACTGAAGGGCACCTGGGTGGCTCAGTCGGTTAAGCGACTGCCTTCGGCTCAGGTCATGATCCCAGGGTCCTGGGATCGAGTCCCACATCAGGCTCCCTGCTCCCTCTCCCACTCCCCCTGCTTGTGTTCCCTCTCTCGCTGTGTCTCTCTCTGTCAAATAAATAAATAAAATCTTTAAAAATATATATATATATATAACTGAAATAAAAAGTTTAATATAGAGTTGGAAAATAGAGTTAAATTTCTCAGAAAGTAGGACTAAAAGACAAAAGAAAAGACTTATTCCCCAAATAAGGAAATTACAGGACAAATTTAAGTCTACATCTAAATAACAGGCATTCCAGAGAGAAAAAAGAAAAGGGAAGAAATTACCAAAGAAGCATTTAAGAAACTTCCCTTGAACTCAAGCAAATGAATTTTGAGAGTAAAAGGTCCCACTGAGTATTAGGCAAAATGCATGAAAAAACATGCACAGCAAGGCATATCACCGTGATATTTCAGAGTATCAGAGATAAAGAAATTCTAAGCTTTTAGAGCTGGAGAGACACAAAACAGATTATACACAAAACTGAAAGACAAGAGAAAAATGCCTTCTAAATTGTGGGAGAAAAATACTTCCTACATTGAATTCTATACCCAGCCAAAATATCTTCTTTAATAATGAAGGTAGAATAAAGACATTTTCAGACACTGGTGTTCTTAGTAAGGTAACAGAGGATATATTCCACCAAAATAAGGGAGTACATCATGGTAAGGGAAGATGCAGGAGATTCAAGATAGGAGACAAGAAAAGAGGATCTCCCAAATGATGGGGAAGGGAACTTTCAGAATAACAGTAGTGTAAGATCTACAGAAAAACAAGTGCATACTGGAGCAGGAAGATGGATGGCTATAAGAAGGATGCTTCCAGAAGAACAGAAATAACCGTATCTACCTAATAAGGTTTGTTAGAATTAAATAATATATATATATTGCTTTGCATAATATTCAGCATTCAATAAATGTTAGCTGTTGTATTTGAAATGCTGGATTCTGTAATGAAGCCCCTGCTCCTTTTCTAATAAAACAGTCTCTAGACATTTCAAACAGGTACACAAAATAAAAGGAGCATGGCTGGAGACTGAAGCCTAGCAAATTAGTTTAGGGCCATATTCTTATTTTAGAACATGAGTTGATAATTTTTGAAATGTACAAGTTAGCTTTTAGTTATACCTTCAAGGCTGTTCTATGGTATGGTTCTTTATTCTTGTTTTTATTGCAACTAGATGCTATAAATCCGATTTTTTTTAAAATTTAATTTTATTATGTTATGTTAATCACCATACATTACATCATTAGTGTTTGATGTAGTGTTCCATGATTCATTGTTTGCATATAACACCCAGTGCTCCATTCAATACATGCCCTCTTTAATACCCATCACCAGGCTAACCCATCCTCCCACCTCCCTCCCCTCTAGAACCCTCAGTTTGTTTCTCAGAGTCCATAGTCTCTCATTGTTCGTCTCCCCCTCCGATTTCCCCCCCTTCATTTTTCCCTTCCTACTATCTTCTTCTTCTTCTTCTTTTTTTAAGCATATAATGTATTATTTGTTTCAGAGGTACAGGCCTGTGATTCAACAGTCTTACACAATTCACCATAGCACATA